AAGGTTATCTTGAATGACAGTAGGTATATTTTTTGTGGGTTTTGTGGGATATTTAGCTTTTGCATATTATAACTATTATTTATAATGTAAGGTATTTAATATAATAATTATGTTTACTTACGCTGCGGCTTTAACACCTTTAAATTCGGCTGCATTGAAGCGTTCGTCATTCTTTATAAATTCGGTAACCATAAAAATATGAACACATGGCAAATTGTTCGTCGACGCTTTAACAAAACCCTGAGAAGCCATTTCTCGTTTTGCGAATGTACAACACAATCACTGTTAATCACAAAACACCTGATAAGCTTTTAAGAATAATTGTAATAATAATAATTCTCAAATCAAAACTTAATACAAGGCAGGTATATACCTGTCATATGACTTGACATAGACCATCCGCCATTTATATGAGTAATGATGTCATCAATGTCACAACCAATGAGATGATGTTTTACAAATCGTTTTGAAATTTGAATTTTATATAGGTTTTTATTATTAAATATTTAGTAAATTCTCATGAAATAGGTAACTTAAACTCTTTTAGGTGTTTATGTACATGTTATACTATGTATTAAAATACAGTTCTAGGCAAAGTTTTGTATATAGAAAATCGATATCTCGGTAGAGGGGAAGTGTGTGCGTAAATGAAATTTTATGGGATGACGTCTTTGTGGATAGGTAACAACCTAGTATAGGTGAAACAGTTCGCCTGCCCGTTTTAGGGAGTGAAAAAAATAAAAATATCATTCCGTGGATGGAAATTTTATCCTATACTAGGTTGTTACCTATCCACAAAGACATTATCCCTTAAAATTTCATTTACACACACCTCCCCTGTATCGAGTTATCGAGTTCGAAAATTTCCAGCCACGGAATATTTTAACTTTTTTCACCCCCTCAAACGGGCAGGCGAACTGTTCCACCTATACTAGGTTGTTACCGACCCAGAAATACGTCATCCCTTAAAATTTCATTTACACACACTGCCTCTGTACCGGGTTATACAAAATCGGTTTCGAAAATTTCCATCCAAGGAATCATATTTTATTTTTTTTTCATCCCTTCAAACGGGCAGGCGAACTATTCCAGCTATACTAGATTGTTACCCATCCACAAAGACGTCATCCCTTAAAATTTCATTTACACACACCTCCCCTGTACCGAGTTATCGAGTTCGCAAATTTCCATCCACAGAATGATAGTTTAATTTTTTTCACCCCCTCAAACGGGCAGGCGAACTGTTCCACCTATACTAGGTTGTTACCTATCTAGAAAGACGTCATCCCTTAAAATTTCATTTACATACACCTCCCCTGTACCGAGATATCGAGTTCGGAAATTTCCATCCACGGAATGTTATTTTAATTTTTTTCATCCCCTCAAACGGGCAGGCGAACTGTTCCACCTATACTAGGTTGTTACCCATCCAGAAAGACGTCATCCCTTAAAATTTCATTTACACACACTTCCTCTGTACCGAGTTACACAGACTCGGTTTCGAAAATTTCCATCCTTGGAATCATATTTTAATTTTTTTCAAGCCCTCAAACGGGCAGGCGAACTGTTCCACCTATATTAGGTTGTTACCGACCCAGAAAGACGTTATCCCTTAAAACTTCATTTACACACACTTCCTCTGTACCGAGTTACACAGAATCGGTTTCGAAAATTTCCATCCACGGAATCATATTCTATTTTTTTCATCCCTTCAAACGGGCAGGCGAACTATTCCACCTATACTAGATTGTTACCCATCCACAAATACGTCATCCCTTAAAATTTCATTTACACACACCTCCCCTCTACCGAGTTACACGGAATCGGTTTCGGAAATTTCCATCCACGGAATGATATTTTAATTTTTTTCACCCCTTCAAACGGGTAGGCGAACTATTCCACCTATACTAGATTGTTACCCATCCACAAAGACGTCATCCCTTAAAATTTCATTTACACACACCTCCCCTCTACCGAGTTACACGGAATCGGTTTCGGAAATTTCCATCCACGGAATGATATTTTAATTTTTTTCACCCCCTCAAACGGGCAGGCGAACTGTTCCACCTATACTAGGTTGTTACCCATCCAGAAAGACGTCATCCCTTAAAATTTCATTTAC